TGTTGTTAATGTGTATAAAGATGTGTTGTTATAATAAATAACAATCATCAAATCATCATCATTATTATTATTGTTGTTAATATTGTATTCTTGTATAATTTACAGCAACAACAATACAACAATGTTGTTGTTTCCTCATATAAATAACAATAAAATATCTTACAATTATTATTATGATTATTAATTTGTAAAACTATTATTATTATTATGATAATACAAATTTAGTAGTAGTAATAATAATAAAGTATTATTATATTATTTAATATAAAGTATTATTAATATTATTGTGTAAAAAGATTGTTGTGTAAATTTGTAATAAATAACAACAACGATACTTTTTTATTATTATTATCATTGTCATCATTGTTTCATCATTATTATTAATATTGTAAGAAATGACAACAACAATAATATTTTTTCTTATTATTATTAATATTATATTATTATTGTTGTTGTCGTTAATGTGTATATAGATTTATAAATAATAATAATAAGTATGATTTTTTAAATTATTATTATGACATAATGCAAATATAGTCATTGTTATGCTTCTTTGAGACATAAACAGCGCTGACCCCCTGTGAATATGTTCTTTGAACCTTGATCGCAGAGGGAAAACAGCAATCTTCATTCTGTGTCAGTGTACTTGTTGACCACACTGTGGGTAAAAACGACCTTGAGGACAATCAGAGTGCAAGTGTCCCTTGAACTCTGGGTGTGTTGTTTTTCTGGTATAAACAAACTAAGAAAAGTAAGGGACAAAGATTTATGTATCCTGGGGGACCGTAGTGTGTCCTGCAGTGAACTGTGCTGAAAGCTGTGACCTCTGTCCCTCTTTGTGTTGTGATACTAATGCACATTTATCAACACTTGTCATAACAGTGTTCATTTTAGCCTTGTTTTGCTAATTTGAAAATATATGCAAGGCCTGATAAACATCATATTTCTATAATAGAGACTCGATTTTTTTTTTTTTTTTTTTTTTTAGATTTCCTACTGTCACTTTTTGGAAAGAAATAACATGATGTCTTAGAGTGAGGGGCCGTTTACACAGCACAATTTATATCTAAAAACGGAAAACTTGTAATGCGTTTTGGCCGTTCATTCACATGGAAACAGCTAGTGGGGGCCTGTAAACGTAAACCCAATTCGTGTTTGAAAGTGCAAGTTTTTGAAAATGATACAGTTGTCGTCTCCGTGTAAACTACAAAAATGCGAATTTGTGAAAAAGGTGACATCATGCGCATGCTTACTACGTGTTCAGTCTAATCAAGGGGGTAATCCATCGACCGGAAGTTGAAGCCGGCCGGGTGCCGCCATCTTGTAGCAGAACTTCACTTGCGTTAGCATTTCCATTGACTCCCATTCATTTTGGTGTCACTTTGACAGCGAATAACTTTACATCTGAGGCGTTTAAAGACTCCATTTGTCCATTATTTATTTCTAAAGAAACACGACAATGTATAAAGGGCTCCATTACCTTCTATGTACCTTCAAAATAGTCATTACCGATTGCATCATAACCACTCGACTCTCTGTCGCGCTGTACAGAAATGACCGTACAGACAGGAGGAGAAGCTCGCAGGCAATCGGGGGGACGTCCCGTCAAGGGAGAAGCCCATAGATAATGAGTCTATTATTAATATAAAAGCAACGGAATACTTACTCCTGCTCACTCACGCCAAATAACTCTTTGCTCAAGTTCCCCGTCTCTGCAAGATTAACGTTGGCAATTTTCACCCACAGCTACTAGAAGATTAACGTCTGTCAGACAGGTTGCTCACGTCATCAAGCTTAGTTTGAGTCGGTTTGAGTCTGCGCGTCAGGAACGGAAGTGCTCAAAAATCGCTAAAAATGGGCTTCAACTGTCTCAACTGAGTTCCAATGAGATGGCTCTGTCCACTTCTTATACTGTCTATGAGTCTAATAGGCGCATAGTGTTTCTTCACAAAGTCACATCGCCAACTACTGGCCTGGCATGAATAATACAGTGTTGTCGTCTGTACTCGAAAAACGCAAAGGAAAAACATTTTCCTTTGTAGTACATCGTTTTCGTGTAAATGTACCCTACATTTTAAGTTTCTCTTTGTATTTTTGAAAAATTTAGTGTATAGTTGACAATGATGTCAAATCAAGGATCCGCACAAATGACTAAAAGCGCTGTATTATTCATGCCAGGCCAGTAGTTGGCGATGTGACTTTGGGAAGAAACACTATGCGCCTATTAGACTGAACACGTAATACGCATGCGCATGATGTCACCATTTTCACAAATTTGTGTCGGTAACGCTTCCTTTTACAGTACTTACGTGTACTTACAGTGTACTTACCTAGAAAGTACTGGCTAATATAAGGCAAGTACATGGGTTAGGGGTAGGTTCAGGGTTAGTACCTAGTTATTACCCAGTAATTATAATTACTATAATAAGTACATAGTAATTACATGGGTAATGTAGGTTTCAAAAACTTTCACTTTGCACCCGTTTTCAAAAGTTTGTTTTCAGGCCCCCAAAACACTGTTATCGTGTAAATGAACTGCCAAAATGCATAAAAAGTTTTCTGTTTTCAGTTGAAAACTTATTGTCGTGTAAATGGCCCCTTATACAGAATATCCTGGAAGTGTTGATTTTAAAACTAGAGCTTCTTTGACTTTTAATGAACTCTCTTTATCTTCGTTATATTGTCTTTTTGTTGTTTAAAGTGCTTGTTTTTATAGAAAAACTGAAAAGCGATACTGTATTTGTGTAATCTCGTATCACCTGGACGCACACAGTCTGGTCTGCTATCATAGGAAGTGGGTGAAAGGCTGTACAGTAATCCTCTAAAGCAGATACAGAAACGCTCTTAGCTGCTTAACACACGTAGTAAACGAGAGGAAGTTCAGCAGGGGACGAGACATGTGGTGATTTCAGGCAGCTTTAGCGTTCAGAAAACAGCTTACGTAACACGTGCTCTCGTCTTGTTTAGTGGCTGGCTTTTCTCCAGCGTCTGTCTCTGTACATTTTCTTCAGTGGTTCTTTGCAACAACTTAGAACCCTTTTTCGCTCTATACAAAATGTTTTTTAAGTTGAATATTCGTTACATTATAGGTTTCTTCAGGTCAGTTTATTAGTTCCAGACATCATCTGTTAACAGAAGAAGCCCATCTGGGTTCTTTGAAACAGCAGTCCATAGATGTTTTGTAACCACTGATCTTCGTAAGGTTCTACAGCATCCAAAGAAATTATTTCATGGCATCAGACTGCAAAACCTATGTGGAACCATTATTTTGAATAGCATATGTCCACTATGATGAGTCCAAAGCTGCCAGAGTTTACTGCATCTGAGTGGTTGCTTCAAAATTAGGTTATCAATAAATAAATAAGCTAATTCAATGGCATTTTTGATGGCCTGCACTCTCTGTTGTTTTCCAGGGACCGTGACAGTCTGTTACTCAGACTCAAAGTCATATGTTAATATTAAAAACATGCTAAATTAATACAAGTGTGCAGTATTACCTGAGTAGTAGCATTTATATTTATAGTATTTACAAAACAACACTTATACCTGGCCATTACACAGTTTTTTCAGGCAATATGAGAAAACAAATCTACATAATGTCTTTGACTAGAGAATGCTTCCAAAACTAGTTTTGACCAAAGTTTTGCTTACAAGTTCAAAAATATTTGGCAGTGCAAACAGGTTGACTCTCTTCAGCTGACAAGTCTGTGTTTGCCCTCTGTCGTTACGTAACCAGCCACTGGCACCATAACTGTGCCCTCTTCACCACAGTACACGTATGAAACTGCTCACTCTAGTTCTTGAAGACCTGTGAGTCTTGCTTGGCTTCTAGTACACCATCTAAAAACAAAACACATTTACTGTCAGTAAGCACTGAAGAGGTGAGTTAGCTGAGACAGATTTGATCCCCTCTACTAAAAATACTCTGTGTGACTTCATACAGCCACAAGTGGAAAACAACAACAACACCTCGTGTGTAAGCTGCGTCCAAGATGATCCTTAAGTCCTCCTGTAGTACATTTCAAACCGTGTTTTTGAGATTGTTTTAAGGAGAAAATACACAGCAAAAGTGTTGACTGATGAATTTGCACATGGTTTGTTTTAAAGCATATTACACCAAACACCACATCGACATTAAAACCCTGATTTTCAACACAGGGGGACTTCAATCCATCAATCCATCTATCTATCTATCTATCTATCTATCTATCTATCTATCTATCTATCTATCTATCTATCTATCTATCTATCTATCTATCTATCTATCTATCTATCTATCTATCTATCTATCTATCTATCTGCTATAAATATGTAGGTATAGTTCATTTTTATTAATACTTGCACGCCACTTATATACTGCAATATATAAATGTCATTGTTTTCTCTCTGTTACTTTAATGGCCAAATAGGCTACCTTGTATTTCTAAGCAGGCAGAAAATCTTATCTAGCAACATTGTTTTGACCTATTTGACTGCCTATTATCAGTACTTATTGTACTGGTTGGAGTTGTTTGACTTAATTGTGAATGTCTTGGGGTTTTTTTTCTCATGAAAAGTTGCAGAAAAAATGCTGGTTCAAAGTCTTTCTTCCCTCTCATACATTTAAGTTAGACTGGTTAAAAGTTAATCCAGGACACAGAAATATTTTCACAGGCTCCTAGTTTATTTATCAATGAAAAAGCATGAATCGGGTAGTCATTAACATTTTTATCACATTCAAATGCTTGAAATGCAATTTGTCTGAGGACAGCACTTAAATCCCATATTAAATTGTCAGCAGCAGTAATCTTATCAGATTAAGCTCACAACACTCATGCCATTTGAGATGAGTTTATTGCTGTTATTAAAATGTGAAATAAAAAGCTCCCTTCATTAATGATAGTCACATTAATGACAACGTTTGCACTTTGAACTCATCCTCACCAGTCTAAATCATCTTTCTTCTCCAGATCAGATGCACTGACATTACAGCACCACTGCAAGAGTTAAAGCTCCTCCAGTCGGACAGTTGACAGAAGCAACTGTGTACTGTTCTGCTGTTCATTGACGACAAAAGGCAAGAGTCCTGCCTCCGTCGACACCTCCACCAATCCCAGTGTGTGGAGCAGGCGAGCCTTCAGCAGCCTTCCCCAAATCTACTCTTAAAGCCCACAAGACATGATCGTGTGACAGCAGCGTAATAGCTAGCCTACTATAGAGGAGAGCATGATCTGCCATGAGACCCTTCATGTCTCAAGGGCACATTTAACGGCTAATGAAGCATTCTGCAGCGAAGAGAAACGGATCGTACTAGAACTTTAAACGGCAAGGATTAATCCGAGTTTTTTTTTAGAGAGGTAAGTTTGATTGTTTTTATGCTTTCATTTGCGCGTCGAGTAGTCGCGTGGCATGCGCGGAAACTGCGTGCAACTATTTGCTGCGTCGAAACGTGAGCCTACTGCAGAAAAAAAAAAGAAAAACAGCTAGAATTAACTATTTATTGAGTTAACTATATAAAGCGAGAGAGAGAGAGAACGAGAGTTTTAAAGGGTAGACAGGGCAGGGTAAACAAAATATTGCATATATTAAATATTTAATAGTTTATTACATAAAACATGCTCGTTGCATATTTCGAACTTTATTGTACAGTTCACATTTTGCCCGTAATTCATATTTTTAGTTATAAATAATTACAAAAGTAATAGAACAAAAACGCTTTGCATGTAGTCATGAAGTTCATTATAATAAGTACACGTTTGTAACATGAATGCTACACTTGACACTTGAATGCTAGAAAAATCACCCCACTGAGATTTTTAAGTATAATCAAAGTGACAAAGTTAATACACGGAGTAAGTTCATTGCATATTTCGACCACTTTGAAATGCATTACTGAAGTAAATCGAGTTCTGAAAACTTAGATTTTGAAAACCTTACAAACGACTGGCATGATTGTGCCAAGCTAAATAGATGGAAACACAGGCTATGTGATGTTGAACGTTAAGCAATTAGCGAGAGATTTAAAGTGTCTAAGGGTATTTAAAAAAAAAACAATGTCTCCTCCTGAGTTTGCAGTGAACACATGTGGGTGTTGACACTGCCTGTAGGTGTCAGGGTTACTCTCGGACATTCTGCAGCAGACAGGGGGCGCTAGAATCACCACTGCATTTAATCACCAATTAAAGATTTCCAGTACTGATTAATGTGCTACTTCAGCTTCCTGTGGCGATGCCTAATGACAGATCTATAGACTTAGACCTTTAGTAGTGTATATTTTAAGGATGAGTTAGACTTTCATGTTTGCTTATATAAAGATTGGGTCTAGTTGTCAATCATTACCATGAGTGAACATTACCATTTACATTTTCGCTGTTTCATGAGTTGTTTTAGATTTCATAATTGTTTTACATTTGGTAAATACTTATCATTACTTCTTATTTTTGACAGTATGTGTAAAATCTCTGTTGGAGTGGTTATTGCATTTCTGTAGCTACAGATTTTTTTTTCTTCATTTCAGTGCATGGGCCAAGGAATGCTATAATGTAATTACTAGCTTCAGTATTGAAGTTAGAATTTAGTGGTCAAATTCCCAGAAATGAACAATGTTGCTTTCTTGGATCTCTTACATACAGCTGATATGCTGATAGCAGCATTACAGTTGGTCTTTTATGCTAACAAGAAAGCATAAAAGAGTGAAAACTAAGAGAGTAAACTAAACAGAGTGAAAACTGAACATTTTTTATATCAAGTAGAACACAGACAAAAAAAAGGGAGAAAACTCTTAACTTATTGAGGATAGCTTTTTGATTAAACGATGAGTTGTCTCACACATAACAGGATCACTTAATATGCTTGGTTTCCAATTAACTAAGACTCTTTGTGTGCACACAATGCTATCTTGTCTTAATGTGATTAGCTTATAGCAAGACTTGTAGTGAGGGAGTAACATGTTCACATCCTCGTTTTAACGTTGACATACAGCTATTACAGTAAATTGTTTCCAGTGTCTCACACATCCACAAGGAAGGAGGTAATGGTAGCTTAGCCATTAGCTGCTGCTTGGCTGTTTTCTCAAATATTTTTGTGGAGTGAAACAGAGTAATTGATTGCACCGAGTATGGTAACATGCACTTTTAGAACCTGACTTCAGCTGTTTTTTGCTAAGTCATTGAATATTTGAAGGATTAAATTCACTTTGCACATCACCGAAAAAATGCCAAGGCTAATTGTAATCTGATTCACTTGTGCATACAGCTCATAATGAACGGCGTCTAGCTATCTAGGTCTGTTAACGCAGACTTCGCAAAAACGGGACTGGTATGATTTCAGTCGGATTAAATTATTACAAATTATTGTTTTAGTCTGACTGAAATTTAACTTAAAAAGTGCATGTATACATACTGACTGAGATAAAAAAAAATCTTGTCTCAAAGTCACTTCAGTTGGACAGCCATGAAAACTGTTGTACAGTAAATCACTTTAAATGTCTATTTATTGCTAATCCCAAATTTGTTTCTTGTTTTTTATAGACAGAGAAAGACCTGCATCATTCATAACAGGGAACTGTACAAGTGGCCGCCGTGCTAGGGACAGGCTGTAGCCAGGAATGGTGGATCACTTGCTGCTTGATGCAGAGACTTTCTTTCCTTACACTTGTTTGCTGCCAGCCCACAACCCATCGGATATGGTGACAGACGAGGGGGTGTACCATATGCTTCCATCTCCATTCTCAGAGGATAACCTGAGTGACTCATCTAGTCCACGTTCCTGTTCCAGCCCTGAGTCTCAGGTGTTGGGCTCTAGTTGTGGGAGTAACTCAAGTGGAGAAAGCCAAGATGGCCTTCTTGACTTCCTTCACTCTCAGTCCCTAACTTTGAGCCAAAACTTGTCCTCTTCTACCATTTTATCTCCCATGGTCCCCCCTGTCCTTCCCATGGGTCTGGCTTGGGAGTCACGACGGGACCGCACCACCAAAGAGGAGTGCTTCGAGTTCCCTGTTTTCCCTGGAGATTTGGAGGACCATGCTGGGCTACTGTTTCAGCCCACTCTGGAGGAGATCGAAGAGTTCCTAGAGGAGAACATGGAAGTGGTGGCCTTGAAGGAGGAAGCCGGTGAGGGTCTAGTGACCTGTACAAGCATCCAAGGAGCTATATCAGAACCTTGGGCCCAAAGCTTAGACCAAACAGTGCCTGTTTCAAGTGACATAGTCAACGCCATTTCTGACCCAAAAAGTGTGCAATCCACAGTCGGGGCCTCCACAAATCCTCAAAGCTCGCTGAAAAAGGAGGACTCTTCAGGGAAGGTTGTGGTGGTGGAGAATCCTAGCATGCCTGTGATCCTACAGCTTCAGCCCATTCAAGTAAAACAGGAATTGAGCCCTAAAACAGCCCCCTCGCCACCAACACCACAACCTGCCTCGGACATCAAAATAACCCAGCTCCTTGTAAACATCCAGGGTCAAACCTTCGCCCTGGTACCTCAGGTGATCCCTCAAGCCAGCCTTAACAGCTCTTCCTCCAAGTTTGTCCGTATTGCCCCGGTTCCCATTGCCGCTAAGCCCTTAGGTCTCGGGGAGAACGGAACAGGTGACGGCCAGGAAGCAGGGCTTGTAGTTGGGGGTCACAAATTCCAAAAGAGCTCAGTAGCTGATCTTATTAAAATGCACAAGTGTACTTTCCCTGGCTGTGCCAAGATGTACACCAAGAGCAGCCACCTGAAGGCCCACCTGAGGAGACACACAGGCGAGAAACCTTTTGCCTGCACTTGGCCTGGCTGTGGCTGGAGGTGAGTGTACAAGGACAGGTATCCACAACTTATACATTGTCTTTGAAAATGTTGTTTGGACAGATAAGGCAACAGATTTGTGTTCTGTACAGTTACAAATGTGATTGTTGTACACATGTTTTTTTCTTCCACTCAAACACTGAGGTTAGCTGTCAAGGTCTGTATGTGTACAAAGGGCTTTCACTCCAATAAGTTGTAGTTATTGCGAAAGCAGTGGTACATCATTATCTTTGTTGTCCATGAATGAACTTCAAACAGAGGCTACTTAGGACTCTATGTGGACTTGCCAAATCTAAAGACATGTTAGCTGCTTATTCATATTCCTTGCTTTTAAGGCATTTTGTAAATTTTAAATGTAAGTGCACACTGTTGCCATGAACCAATTACTTTAGAAGTGTCCAATCCTGCTCTTGGAGGGCCAATGTTCTGCAGAGTTTAGCTCCAACCTAATCCAACACACTTGGTTGGAAGTTTCTAGTAATCCTGAGCTAAACTCTGCAGGAATAGTGTCCCTCCAGGAGCAGGATTGGACACCCCTGAATTGCATGAGCTGATTCACAAGAATGCATCAGACTTTCCAATGTAACGTAAAGGATAGCTTGTACAGTTTAGTAAGCAAGTTTGGTTACTACCTTTACTTGAAAGGCTGTAATGTTGCATTTAAAATACAATGCGATTTAACATGCAATCGGGGCATGCTACAACACTACTTGTTGAATATTTTAGCATGTTTCTGCAAAAACCTATACTATTTTGATAGTATAGTTACTATAACATTATACTATAAGTTATACTATACTATAACAGCTGAACTATGATCACGTTAGTGATAAAAGTAGTTTAGTTCGTAGCGTTGCTACTTTACTCCCCCAACATTGCTTGATAATCACTTTGTATTGTAGCTGTAAATTTCATTCACAATTTGTCCTTAGATTTTGGGTCTTGTTTTGTGTTATCGCTGCTGTTTGCAGATTAGATAAAGTCTTTGAAGAGGCAGACTTTGCCCTATTCACTGCTTCATTTGTTTACTCTTAGTCTATGTCCACCTCCAATCTTTCTGAACAGGCCTGGATACTGTGTAAAGTGCACCAGAAGTTGTAGTGAGGTCAGGATTGACAGGATAGATAAAGTTTCAAGTGCCGGTCTTTGACAGAGACGAGTTTGGTTCTTATATTTTTGTATGCTTGTGGGTGATGTTTACTCTGAAGTGTAATCTTCAAATGATTGATTGCATTAGTTGTCAAGTTTGAGTAACTACATTCTTCAAGCACTTGGTCGTAGTAGTATCCCTGATTTAGCTATTACCAGGTTCCAAGTCCCTCTTTCAGATGTCAGTTTTTTTAAATGATCCACTGGTTTGTCTAGTTTCATGTCCGACTCTGTAAGATTACCTAATTATCAGCCCCCCCAGACCCCCCAGAGAGGTCTGTTATCAGTGACCTTGGTTAGCCTGGCTTCTGGATAGCAGTTGGCAGTGACTGTCCTTCAGCAGTCTGAGAGTCTGATTGAGGTCTCCGGGACACTGTAAGGAAATGGATGTAGGAAAGAAAGCAACAGAAGAATGCCCCATTGGCTGCCTCAAGCCTGGCTTCAGCAATGCTTTGCCTGCATTTTTAGCATTCCTTTGGTACTCCGCAAATAAAAGTGTCCAAGTGACACAAACACAAAAAACCATGCTCACACTTAGATTGGAAATTTCTTAGACCCAAAAGCACTCACAATAGCTTTAAACATGGTACTTGACTGGAAAACACACCAGTTGGCTTAGCTGCAGCATGCTAACGTCTTTGCACACACGTCCTGTGCTTTGCTACTTCTCTTAGAGGGCCATACACCTGGAAACAAACCAGGAAGTACATACTTTATTTTATACAACTTGCACACAAAGGTTAATAGAGGACAAAACCTGCATGAAAAGCTGCAATGGAACTGATATAGTTTGCAGTATCAACATATGCGTGTAAGAGAGCAAACCAAAGTGCTCATCTGGTTTTGAAATGGAAAATGCAGATTTGGAATTCAGTTGAGGGCGTAATAGATTGCAAATGAATAACTCTGTCCACAATGCAAAAATGTGTGCATTTGAATGGAAGTTAGTTAATAGCATGCTGTAGAGCGTGCTGGAACAGCTCTGTTTGTGAGCTCTGACGTCCAACAAGGAGGGGCACCTCGTCCCATCCTATCCCACAGGGCAACAATTAGTCCACCACCATCCCATCCCAACATGCTTCAAAGACTTACTCGCATACCATGCATGCGATATTACAGAATGAGAGATACTTTGTCAGTCAAAAAAACATCACAGTTTGCTTGGCATCATACAGTAGTTAACCTATGCTATGTGAGTAAGATGTTGATATCGTCTCTTTTGAGTATGAAATGAGAATCATCTTGTTAGTTTTGTTAGTCATGTTGTCGCTGCAGGGGTTTTATTTTTGGATTGAGCACAAAGCTAGTGCATTACTGTTAGCATAGCTGCAACTGTACTTTTCCTGTCTAAGCTTGTTGTAAAACTGGAAGAAAAGCCTAGCTGGAGAGAGAGAGAGAGAGAGACTGTTTTTTATAGCCTTGCAAATACTCTACACATGTTCCCGGTACATTAGAAACAGATACTACCTCGCCTATGGCTCCATGTGGGCATGGGGTTGAGCAAGAGTTTGTTCTCCTGGTTTTCTCATTTCAGAAAGAAGTACACACTATCTTCAGATGCTTTTTATTGAGTAAGATATGTATTGGTAGTATAAAGGTAGTGTAAAGTTGACAGTATACCAGGGATGTAATATAACTAATTTCCCAGGAGTCTCTATTACTTTGGTCTGTGCAGGGTATATGGTATAACTTGAGAAAGAGAGAACTGCAAATTGAGTTAAAGAAAATGCTTCCATATTTTCTAAAATAGAAGAAGGAAGAAAAAAAGACTGTGTGTTTTCCTCCTCCTGGGTCTTGGTTCTTTTAGTTGCTTTCAGAAAACATTAACAGTCGTAAATGTGGTGCAAATCTACTTTTGGAACTTGAGCACTGGGTTAAGCGCCAAGTTAAATATAGTTGCTCATTAGATCTGCTCCGAGCTCAAACCATTTGCTGCTCAGTTGTGAAGACACTGAGCAATTGTTTGACAGTTTTAATGTACATTGCATGCAGTCCCTATCAAACTATTCAACTCGAAAAGCCTGTGAAAAGGATTTCACTCTCACTGATTCAGTGCTCTTCATTTTGTTACTCAGTAACTCCAGCACTATTTTTACCCTTTGTCTGATTTCACAGCAACGATTGCTTTTACAAAATCACAAATACAAGGGAAGACACTGGGACAGAGACAAAACGATGTGCGGGTTTATTAATGTGAATAATGAGCTCTCTTGTCCAAGTAGGCTTTGATTTATTGTTTTGTATTTTCAAAATGCATGACTTCTTTTCACAAACTTTTATTCCATAATCTGATGCATTTCTTCATTAAAAAAAGGGATAATCAATTAGAAAAAACGAAATCCTGAAACTGTGGCGTAACATTGGATAATGGTTTTAAAAAGAAAGAGGATAGTTGTTTCAGAAGTGGACATACTTGAATGATTACGAAGATTACCTTGATTTCAAAGACGAGGAACATACAGAGTAAATAAGGACCATGTCGTCTTCAAAACAACTGTAACTGAAGCACTTAGGCCCTCTGCCTTTTTTAAGACACGGTCATAAATCAAAATACAAACGAAAGCAAAAAGCCAAGTAGTGCAGTGCTTTTCACAATGCAAGAGGTATAAAAAAAATGCAAAACATGAATCAGATAAGTGCACAAACATTGATATTTGGCTTTATCTCTGGATTCTTCTTGCAGATTCTCCCGGTCGGACGAGCTGTCACGGCATCGTCGGTCTCACTCTGGAGTTAAGCCCTACCAGTGCCCTGTCTGCGAGAAGAAATTTGCCCGCAGCGATCACCTGTCCAAACATATCAAAGTCCATCGCTTTCCACGAAGCAGCAGGACAGCGCGCACTGCACACTGACCCCACACAGGCCCCCTCCATGGAGAGAGATAGAGATAGAAAGAACGGACGAACAAAACAAAGAGAGAGAGAAGGACAGAATAATTTGTGGTACTGTGATAATTTATTACGTGAGGCTTGGATGAACTGAAGAAGAGTTTGTTCTGAAACTGTTACTTGACTTGTCGGCCTCACAGATGTTGTAAGCTTCGTAGATTGTATTTTTGTAGTGTTCATGATTGTTTTCTATGTTCCGAGAACAAATTTTTTTGCAACATGTAACATTCAAAGTATTTTTTTGTTGTACTTTGAGGTATGAATTGTTGATGCATCTGCCAGTCATCAACATTCCTTGCTCAATATCACGATAAAGTCGCTTCTTTTTGCCAACGTAACGCGTTTAGCTCCTCTAAACCAAAAAAAAAAAAACTCGGGTTCATTTGAACTACTGATCATTGGTAGGACTGTGCCATTATAAGCTATTGGCAAACATGGAGGCTTTTCCTCTTGACTTTCAGTTGTATGCTAGTAAACTGTGAAACGCCTCTTGGACAGACCATGGAGCGAATCAACGGAAGTCAAAACACGCACATTTGTCATATGTGAATTGGCCTCATGATCAGTATTGAAATTTTTCCCCTTATGTTGTCAATACAAAACCTTTCTTCTTTTCATTTTTGTCATTTTATTGGTTGCTTTCATCATAAAAAAAACAACAACCTTCCATGCCTTTCTCTAATCTAAATGTTTGCAGCTGGGGCCAAGGCATTTGTGGTGAAGTGTTTGCGGTTAGAAAATATTTTTGACAGCAATGCAACACATTTTACATCTGAGAAATCCCATGATCCAAGTCAGTCAGTTGATGACTAAGCTAGGTCAAAACACACGTATCAACCATTTCTAACCTGCCTCAAACAGTCCTTTTGACCTGGGACTACTTCACGATCTGCCAAAATGTCTCCGCGAGACAGGCTTGAATGACAGAAACTGGAATTGCAAGGTGCTAACCGGCCCTCAACCGCGAGCTCCTGCACAGGGGACTCTTGCAGCTCAAATCCTCATGCTAGGGAAATGTAGTCTGGAACTCATCTGGAGTTCAGAGAGGACATTCTTCATGGGAACTGTAGTCATGGACACAGCTTGACTACTGATAGGGCATGCTGACCATGTGTTCGCTAAAGAATGCGACGTGCGGGATGCTGATAGTTAATGCTAATATTTAACTAAATCATACCGTGTTGTATAATTGGATTTTTAGCAGAGCTTCGGATCAACCTTGGCAATGCAATCTGTTCTATGCAATCTGTTTTTGCCAAAACAATAGCCTGAATGGAAACAAGTACAAAGTTACCCAGAGTGCCTCAGGTGATGAATCAACTTGTTGCACTACAACTTTGTACTGCACCAACAGGCACAACAGCCAGCGGTACCTATAGATGCATCCACACGTATAGTGTGATGACAGGAACTCTAGAGTTTAAAGAACCAATCATCTTTTCTGGTTCTCTACTTGTGCTCCGATTTGACTGTGGTTTAGAGGAACACGATTATGGTATCATTTTGCTGCTCTGCTTATAATATTTAGCAACTGTTGTGGTCAGGAAATCTGATCTCAGATCCGACATCGCAGAGCGAGAAGAAACTAGAACCACTCAGACCTCTCGCAGACCAGAAGATTCCTCTAGGAATGAAGGAAACGCATTTGTCTACATACAGTATATAAATGTTTTGCTGCTGTTGGTGCCTGTTTAACATACAAACCAGTGCCAAACATGTTTTTGTTGCTCGCGCAAAGAGTCCATGATTGGTTCCGTTGTTCAAAACCCCACGCACTTAAAACACAGAAAGATTACGTCACGAGTAACACAGACACCCAGGCGGAGGCTGCGTACTGTTAGTGATGCATTCCTCGCCGTCTACATGAAAGTCTAGGTGAAATCGGTGCTTATGGCCAACATTGAATGTATGTATACTGTATGTACAGACTTTGTACAAAATGTTGTTGGATCAGAGAGTACCGGATATTCTTTTACTGACGTATCTCATTTCTTTGATTGTATAAATGTCCCCTGTAAAATGTAAACCAATGTACATAATAACAATTCAATATATATATAAATATTATATATTTTTCTTGATATACATCAGATGCATTTACAAATAAATTGAAAATAAGAACTTTTTGTTTTCGAGTTACTCTGTTTTCTTGTAGCTTAGGCTCGAAACATACTGAAGTGTGTGAATGCAAATGCAAAAAGCTTCATGATCGATTTGATGTGAATGGAAACACAGCTGTGCACTGCATTGTCTGTTAGCGCAAACTTATTCGAACGACTAGATTTTGTGCAATTTGCAGAGTGCATTTTGCAGAGTAATTGAATTAAAATAGATGCGATTTCTTTGTGCACTTGTGTAGAGTATATTTCTGGCTTCTTAGAATGACTCATGGCCTCATACCAGTGATGTCTAATTATAGTTGTACCCATTCAAAAATACTATGTAAGGGGTCGAGAGAGAAATCGTGCCTTATAATTCCAACTCCTACATTGAAACCACTCACTTCCTAAAGAAAGAAAGCATTTAAGCAGCCATGTGCTTTTCTTTTTAACAACAGAGTATAAGTGAGCCAAACAGTAAAGGTTAATATGTCATAAAATATCTTTAGTAGATCTGTTAAATATTTTACAGATGAACCATGTTTGACACTCATAATCTGATGCTGATAAAAGATTTATTTTAGGACCACAGCATTTTCATTTATATATTTTTCGACTATTTTATGGAAGCTTGATTCCGCCACTGAAAAAAACAACAACGTAATTGCGAGAATTGCGAGATATAAACTTGCAAAACAAGTTTTTTTTTTCTCAGAATTGGACTTTATAATTTGCAATTGCGAGTTTTTATGACTATTTTATCAGAATTTCGAGATTTAAACTCACAATAGCAAGAAAAAGTCCGAATTGTGAGTTTATATCTCGCAATTCTGACTTTATAACTCGCAATTGCAAGTTTATATCTTGAAATTCTGAGAAGATATAAGATATATATTCAGAATTGTGAGATAAAAAGTCGCAATTATCTTTTAAATTGTTTTATTCATGGTGGAAAAAAGCTTCCATAAAGTATTAACTTTTTATAATATATATATATATTTTTTATAATAATACATACAGTATATATATAAAAAACTCAATAAATATATGTACGGTTTCAAAAAGCTTAATACCTGATTTTTTTTTTGTGTTTATTTTGTTTGTTGGATTTTTGTGTTTATTCCCTTGTAGGGAACGACTGCTTGTACTGTAGTCCGCAACATAATCAGATTCATTAACATCTAAACAACATCTCAAACAAGAACAACAACCAATAGTACAGGAGTCCAGTGCATGTTGTTTAAGCTGAGTCACCCAGGATAAGGACATATTGAGTATGATGCTCGTGAAGAGCCCTGATGTTTATGGCTGACAACTCCAATTTATGTTGCTCCCTTCACAAGCCCCCAACCACATGTGGCACTCCTAAAGATGAGAGGGAGGGAGTCAGGAAGAGAAGAATGCAGTGAAGTGATTCTCTTTTTACGGCCATCTGTTGGACATGCTCACTGGTATGAAGGCGATCCTCAGTAGATTGCCAATATCTCCAGACGTTAGCTAATATGACTGATCTTGGACCTGTTTGACCATAAACGGCAGTCCTGTCAGGATGACTCCAGATTTGGTTCTCGAAAATGTAATGTTTTTAAAAAAAAATTGTTTTCTATCATGAGGTCTTAGAGGAGAGTCAGCTGTTTACAGAGTGCTGGCAAATTTAGGTTCATAGTAAGAAATTAACTTTCAGTGGATCGTTTGCAGCAATGAATAGTGCACTTATTGCATTTAATCCACCTATTCTATTCTATGTCAGCAAGTACTTTGAGCTTCTTGATTTATTACAGTATACTATCCGGGCAACTTATTAAATGAACGTGTTTTATGATTTTATTCTGGTTTTAAGCTATTAATCAGTCTTCCCGTGGTGGCTTCAACACTCACAGTGGTTTAACTATGTTTCCTCAGCTCTCCGGGTCTTGCTGTGCTCTGGGAAACGCAATGGTCTTCCAGCCATTTGACAGATTTATTTTTGGAGCATTTGCCGTTGTTGGAAAGAGTAGATCCATCTGTCATGACACCAAGGTAACTTTGGGTCAAGCGCATGACAGGTCAGAGGAAATGATGTGGTGACTTATTTTATTAACGATTAAATGGAGTTGCTTACAAATGAGGCATTCATTGAAACCAGAATAAGGATGCATTTTCCATTTGGTACATTTCTGTAAGATTTTAAACATTGAGCAATGTTGCAGTCAATGGGCAACCAGGTGAGATCTAAAGTATCCAGATATACATTTGTTGCCCATTCTTAATGGGAAAGTGCCCGGAAACATTGCTCAAAAAAGTTGCCCCACCTTTAGGCAATGAATGTCTTTAAATGTTAATCAATTGCATTGTGCAATTTACAATAAAATACTAATACAAATTAATATGTTGTGAACAGGTGGAACATTTAAAATCAAATTGCTGCTCTTCCTGTTATTAATGTTATGGCCTTCTTTAATTGAGAACAATATGACATCTATAGTGGAAGAAATTAAGTATTAAAAATATTAAATATTTGCTAAAATAGTAGAAATAAATAATTGATGTTTTTATTTATTAATATATATATATATATATATATATATATATATACGAGTGTGTGTGTGTTTGTGAGAAGGGGGAGATTTATGCTCAAATTATGTCACGTCCTTTTTTATTTTTAAAAGTAGTGATAAACCAAAATTCAAGGACGAAATATTTTTTATAAAAAACTGATTGATAGTGTTTGTTTTAAATTCATTTTAATTTCATAATTTTTAATAGCATTTTATTATAAAATAAAATTAAAATCTTATTAATACACTAAATAATATTTCTATAATATATAATATAAAAGTTCTGAATAATAATAATACAATACATTAATAATGTAATATATTTTCTATGACTGGCTATACATGTAAACATAAAAAAATTAAAAAGTATTCCTTCACATGAACTAATATTTTTATAGTAAAACAAGTTTATAATATATCTTCATTCAATTATTCTAAATGAACATTCTCCTCCTAAAAAAGCAGAGCATTTTTAATTCTCAGTGGAAGCTGACAGCTTTAGTTTGAAAAACGACTTATTGGTGTGCATGTGTGAGATGATTTATGAATACTCCTGCACATATTGCTTTGCTTTTGTTCCCTCTGCACAGGATTTCATTATAACTCACAGCTTTGCGGTGAACATTTGTAGGATTCTCAATCGAACCTCTGACCGCAACATTACCATCAGATTCATCCCAGATAATAAAACACAGATTTGAACATTGTTGCTGTGGTCAGTATTCTGAAGGCTCTCTCTCTCTGCTATTCAGTTTTCATGTTGTCATATCCAAACTTCATGCGGACGGGATTCTTTTTGTCTTGCAGGAGGGATCAGAATTTTAGATCCAAGTCCAAAGGATATAAATGTGTATAAACTCGATCTCTTCATCGAGATCTCAGTCTAGAAACATCTTGAAGGAACGGAGAAGATGTTGGCAGTTCCTCTCCCCTCTGTTTCCAGCCTGAGACGCATTCTTTTCTTCCGGTAATAAACTTGTCTATCCCTCTAATTTACTGTGAGTCTGAAGGGATGACGGCAAAGCCTGGTTTGCTGCAGTCACTTTGTGCACAAAATGTTTTCTGTGTTCACATACAAGAAATGAACTTGAATACATCGGTGCACAGCTGCATGGGGAGCATTCTCAAAGTTCTGAACAAATAGAACGCCTATTCAAAGTTATCTGGTCTTTAATAATCTTCTCAAAACATTAACAAAGACATTATACATCGTTCATGAAGCATTTTTTTTCTGAAACGTTTTAGTTGGACGTTCATCTAATGTTATTTAAATGTTACTAAAAAGATATTGTACTAAAGTAAGTAAAATTTAGTTCATTGAACTTAAAAATTTGAATTAAAGGGATATTTCACCCAAAATCTAAATGTTGTCATCATTTACTTACCCTCAAGTTGATTCAAACCTGTATGAGTTTCTTTCTTCTGATGAACACAATAGAAGATATTTTAAAGAATGTTGGTAACCCAACAGTTGACGGAACTCATTGACTTCCATATACGATGGAAGTCAATGGCTACGGCAACTCTTTGATTACCAACATTCTTTAAATGACCTTCTTTTGTATTCATCAGAAGAAAGAAACTCATATTATGTATATAAAACGTAGGTAAATGGACTTGAACTTCTATAATTCTGTATTTATGACACCTGTAAGCACAAAACAACTGGATTCCGATATTCTCAGATTGGTTTCAGTCCTCATTGATATGTTTTGCCGACCAAATCACGCCGTTTTTACCGTACTTCCTTTTCGACCAGCTTTTCCGGTTCAGTACGTCTACCATGGTTGTTTCGCCAGTATAATGCAGATATCGGATATGGGTCACTTTTAAAAGCTGGTTGGATATAATTAACAAATCAGAACTGGGCATCGAGACCTGCATAAATGTGGCCTGCGTCAGGCCTCAAACCTTGGCAGCCATTCCTTTCCCTGGCGAGTACAAGCCTGAAAACAGAAGTGCATTTGTTAGCTGTGAATCCCTTTTTTCCTTCCCAGCTCAAAGGAAAGGCAATTGATTGCTGAAGAGAAAGGACAGCAACACAATACAAGATGTCAAGCACGGAAAAACCCTGTCTAATATCTCACATCAGTATTTGTTTTTTTTTTCTTTAAAAAAATACTTTTATTATGCAAGGATTTGTTAAACTGATCAAAACTGACAGTAAACACTTACATGCACACACACACAAATAAATGCTGTTTTTTGAACTTGGTATTCATCAAAGAATCATGAAAAAATTGTATCACTGCTTCCACATAAAAATTTTAAGCAGCACAGCTGTTTTCAATATTGACAACAGTAAGAAATGTTTCTTGAGCAGGAAATCAGCATATTAGAATGATTTCTGAAGGATCATGTGACACTGAAGACTGGAGTAATGATGCTGAAAATTCTGCTTTTCCATAACAGGAGATTTTAATGACATTTCAGAATATAATAAAATAGAAGACAGTTACTTTAAATTGTAAAAATAAAAAATACAAAGTTTTGCTTCATTTTTGATCAAATAAATGTAGCCCAGATGAGCATAAGAGGGTAATAAAAAAAATCCTTTTGAACAGTATTTGGATACACTGCTGTGATATATTGACGGCATAGAATAAATATTTATTTTCTTTTTTTTTTTGCACTGGGAATGAATTACTCATAAAGCCCGTGGCACTTCTGTTCCACTTCGATACAGATTAAGAAATATATTACCAGCTGACTGAGGCTGGCATGGACCGGGGTTATCATTAGACAATATGGTGTTACAAGAGCGAAAGGAGGAGACATGCACTCATTTCACTCTGCTGAAGGTTATTGGCTCACAGCCCCATTGTGTGCATGTGTGTGTGTGTGTGTAAGAGAGAGAGAAAAATTGAGAAAAGATGCAATTCGTTGTGTAAAATCCCTCATCAGAAGGGTTTCTGAAGACTGTTTAATATTGCATAATGTAATGGCCTCATTTCACACAGCTGTGCAACGTTTACATCGCTGAGACATGCAATTTAGTCTGTCTCGGGTGATCCATGAATGTATGTTGTGTGTATATTAGTGTTTAGCATGCATGTATGGCTGGCAAATAGTGCTACATTTAAAAAGTACATAAATGAACAAAAAACAGAACTGCAAAAATAACGAGCCGGTTATCAAAACAGGATTGAACCCCATTGACCCCAAAAAACACAGAAGCTCAAAATATTCAAAAATAAATATTTACAATAAAAATAAAAGAATCAAAATATTGGTTGTGCTTCATAGAAGAGAGCCATAGAGGATTGGAACGACATGAGGGTGAGTAAATGATGACAGAATTTTCATTTTTGGGTGAACTATCCCTTTTAAGATTTAGTTCTCTTACGAGAGAATCTCTCGTACTGCGTAATAGCTTACGCTAGGGGAAAACCTCTTTTCCACGAGATATTGAAGCCAAAAATTATCCTTAATTTTTTATTAATGTAAAACGCTTTGCAGCAGCAAGCAGACGCAGGCGATACAGCTCGCGCGCCTATTGGCTGCTCTTGCGGCAAATGCAGCAGCCTATCGAGAGAGACTCTGCGTGACGTAATGACCAATGGGGGCAACTCGCGCCCATATCGTCACGTCCCGCCAGAAAGGGCGTGGTCTCACTCTATAAATATGCTCGTTAGGCTGGTACAAGCTGGTTTTCATCTCTTCAGCGAAGCAAACGCATCGCTGGATCCGGAGTGAGAAGCTGCGCCGTCGAAGCAAGCTTTTCAGCGGGACGAGCTCTGGAGTCGCTGGCCTCGCCGCCTTCAACTGCCGTACCTGCTGCGCTTTCCGACGTTCTATATCCTTTTATATCACTTTGTATCCTTACTCTGCTGAGAGTGTTTGCTCGCTTACTTGACGCGACTCACACTTCTCATCACAAAAGAGCTGCGTCTTTTTAAAGATGCCATCCTGTGGCTCGTGCCGCGCCCCACTCAGCGACGGGGACCGTCACGTCATCTGTGTGTCCTGCCTGGGTGAGGATCACGCGGCCATCGCGCTCGCTGACGGCGGATGCCCTCATTGCGAGCTTTTGCCTATGGTGACTCTGAGGACTCGCCTGGCATCATTCTCCGAGCCTTCACCATAGCCCGCCGTGGTGCCGCGCCGCAAGAAGCGCCGCGCCCAGCGCGCTCCCGAGCTCTCTCCAGCCCGCCAAAGCTCGCCGGTTCCCCCGCCAGCTTCGCCGGCTCCGCTCGAGTCGCTCACTGACGGACAACGGCCGCCGCCTGCCGCCGCGTCCGTCCACGAGTTCGACGAGAACCAACCCACCGAGGCTTGTTCTCTTCTGGCATCTGATAGCGAGGATTGGGCGAGCTCTGTGGACCTCCCCTCCGCTAGCGTTTCCCGCCGAACCACTGGTAACAGAGCCGGCATTGAGACTGAGCTGATGCGTCTGCTCTCTCAGGCCGTGGAAAGCATCGGCCTCAACTGGGAGGCGCCCGCGCAACCGCCGCGCGAGTCGTCAGGGAAACGGGCCAGCATCAAGACCGCGAGCCCTAAAACCGCGGCTAGCTTTCTTTACGTTATAAGAAATCTACCCCGCCCCCCATGGGCGTGCGTCACCGGCAAATGAGAAAAGAGTGTGTTTTAGTCCCCGCCGAGGCCGGACTAATCTCCATTTCTCAAACATTTCTCAGCTCCTAGTTTGAGCGGCTGAAAATGTCATTATTGCAGCAATGAGCCTGTTGTATAACACGCACACCTGCATACAAACGCCGACACACACAAAACTGTGATGACACTCTCTTATCTGCTTGCGCTAATGTAGTTCTCCCTGTGGCCCAGTGGCAGAACCTGAAGCCTTCGTGCGAGAGACCCGTGTTCGATCCCGGCTCTCGCAGCAGATAAAAATGTAGTCTCGCCGCGGCCAGACTTCCACTGAAATTTTCGCTCGTTCAGTTCCAGAAAATGTGACTGTTCCAGTGTATTTTGCAGTAAGCAAGCCAGTACCATGCCCGCTTGCCTGCACACAAATGCTGTTCCCACGGCGACCCAGATAAATCACATAAACGATGTATTTTCTGGTATTCCGGCCACAGCCGATGGTGTTATGAGTGTATTGAAAATGCCCACAACCCAGGGCTCATTTCTACACACAAACACAGCCCGCCACGGTACAGGGCTCGCACAAATGAAATCGACGCATGTCAATTGTGCATTAAATGTAGTGAATGTGCCCACAACCCAGTGCCCACAAACACTACCACGGTTTCTGTAAAACGAAACCAACACAAGTCTTCCTAGCCTCCTAGGAAATCGACGGTGTTTCAGTCTCGCCGTGGCCAGACTTCCACTGAAATTTTCGCTCGTTCAGTTCCAGAAAATGTGACTGTTCCAGTGTATTTTGCAGTAAGCAAGCCAGTACCATGCCCGCTTGCCTGCACACAAATGCTGTTCCCACGGCGACCCAGATAAATCACATAAACGATGTATTTTCTGGTATTCCGGGCACAGCCGATGGTGTTATGAGTGTATTGAAAATGCCCACAACCCAGGGCTCATTTCTACACACAAACACAGCCCGCAAAGTTGCAGGGCTCGCACAAATAAAATCGCCTCATGTCGATTGTGCACTAAATGTAGTGAATGTGCCTACGTCTCAGTGCCCACAAACACTACACACCACATGTCCCACGGGTTCTGTAAAAACGAAACCAACACGCATTCAGTCAGCTCAGGCCGACGGTGTTTTTCAGTGCAGTAAATGTGCCCGCTGTCCTGCGCCCACATTTACTCACAGACATGTTAAGCCCCACGAGGCTCACTCCGCTCTCTCACCCTCAGCAAACTGCTATAAGGGTTTTGAGCGCGGCCAGGCTGCCCGCCGCGATCGGCGCGCCCCCCGCCTCACACACTGTAAACACAGTGTCTGCGTTACAGCACGCCGGAGCTCCCTTGCCGTCACTATGTCTCGGCCAGAGCCCAGATCTCATTCTACCCCTAGCTATTCACGCGAAAGTGTGGGCACAGCTTCCTGGGGTATCAGAATGGGTGCTGAACACTATAAAAAGAGGCTATTCGCTACAGTTCGCTCAACGTCCCCGCCGTTATACGGCGCGCGTCGAGACGACGGGGAAAACGAAGTATCTCATCTACTTTGAG